GGGTTCAGCCTCAGCCCATTCTCCTGCATCCATTGCTGTATGGCCCCCAGGCAGCGTACAGCACATTTCAAATTTTTATACTTTCCTTCTAATACAGCAGAGGGGAGGGCCAAACACCTTGCCAGGGTAAAGGCTCTTCTAGTTCCTTTAATTTCCAGAGACAAGTATTTGGCCAGTTCCATCGTTTTTGATGTAACTCCCTACTGCCATGTTTTGAATGCTAGAGAGATCTGTTCGATATTCATTGTCCTCTATTCTTTCTTTGACTATTCATCATTGTCCTCTATTCTTTGTTTGACTATTCATTTTGCCTGTTCTATTCCAGAAGATATATGTACCTGGGGTGAGAGGCCAATTTTCCCAAGTAACCCTGGACAGATTTGACCCAGTTGGATTGATAATTATTGTTAAATATCAAAGAAAATAGGCCTTTTGGGTTTAACTGTCCCTTTAGCCACATATATATATAGATTGGATCCTAATCCAGGCTTCTACTTTAAGGCATCCTGTTTCTAGCCTTATCCTTGCATTTGGCATGAATCTTGGGACCTGGAGTATAGTTCTTAGAAATTTAGATAGAACTGTTTCTTGTGATACAAAGTGAGAGCTGGGTGGCCCCATGAATGAGCCGTACAACAGCTGAGCTAAACTCTTTGCTTTGTAGAGTTTGATGGCTTCTGGTATAAAGGACCCTCCTTGGGAGAGATGCATTCTGCAGTTACTGGGAGAGATGGAATTTTGCTATACTATTTACTGATCTTTCTCCCTGATCTTCCGCATATTTACTATGCTGAAGCCTAGATCCCGAGGCCTGTAGAACTACCCCCAGATATTTGAAGTTGTTTGCCTGCTCGATACTGTGTCCATTTATTTGCCATGACAGAATCTTGGGTCTACGTCCAAAGGCAACTATCTTGGTCTTCTGATAGTTAATAGTCAGGGATTTGTTTTCACGGTAGGAGGTGAGCTTCTTAAGTGCCCTCCTCAACCCTTAAGGGGTTCTATATAAAATTACTGTGTCATCAGCATAGAGTAGAACTGGCACTGTTCCATCTCCAAGTTTAGGGGAATGGAAATCAGTGGTGTTAAGCCAGCTTGATAGATCATTTATATAAAATATGAATAATGCTAGTGCCAGTAGGCAGCCTTGCCTAACACCTCTGTGTATCTGCACAGACTCCATGAGGTGTCCTTTTTTTTTGCTGCACCTGACTCTCAAGTATGCTAGTGCCAGTAGGCAGCCTTGCCTAACACCGCTGTGTATCTGCACAGATTCCATGAGGTGTCCTTTTTTTTGCTGCCCCTGACTCTCAAGTATGTTTCTTCATGTAGGACCCTGATTAAATATAAAAGTCTTTTGTCTATAGAAGAATTTGTTAATTTGTCCCAGAGGTATATTCTAGATATAGAGTCGAATGCTGATATAAAATCCATAAAGGCAACATAGAGTGAAGTTACTCCTTTGGCTGAGTATTTCTCAATAAGATGTTGTATAATTAGGCACTGATCTATTGTGGATCTCCCTGGCCAAAAGCCTGCTTGTTATGCCCCAATGGTATTTTCTACTTTGAGCCAATCCAGGAGTTTATCTGGGAGGTGCCTTGTGTATAGTTTGATTATACTGTTCAACAAACTTATTAGCCTGTAGTTGGCTGGGTCTTCCCTTTTCCCCTTCTTGTAGAATGGCATCACTATGGCCATTTTCCATGATATTGGGATATGGCCTGTGTCACTGATATGTGCGAAAAGAGGTGCTAGAAAAAAGCCCCACTATGTCTTATTTTCTTTTAGGAGTTCTGGTGGGATGCCATCAAGGCCCGGGGCTTTGCCATTTTTCAGCTGATCTATATGAGCTATAATTTCACCTGGGGTCACCGGGGGCCATTTGGAAATGCTTTCAAGCATTAGAGGAGAGGGAGGTACAATGCTATCCTAATACATACTTGTAAAGTGGTATACCCATATATCTCTTGGGATCCAAACCTTTGTTCAATCAAAGCTGTAAGGTAGCAAAAGAATTAGTAAACCAGATATACCAGGAATACCGAAGAGCAGAAGACCATGTCAAAAAAGATGCCCTCCTAAAACTATTGATACATAAAAAAAGAATACAAACAGCAGATACACCACAGTAAAAAAGAGCACACTAGAGCATTGGTTCTTAACCTTTGTTACTCAGGTGTTTTTGGACTGCAACTCCCAGAAGCCTTCACCATCAGCTCTGCTGGCTGGGGTTTCTGGGAGTTGCAGTTCAAAAACACCTGAGTAACAAAGGTTAAGAACCAATGCTCTAGTGTGCTCTTTTTTACTGTGGTGTATCTGCTGTTTGTATTCTTTTTTTATGTATCAATAGTTTTAGGAGGGCATCTTTTTTGACATGGTCTTCTGCTCTTAGGTATTCCTGGTATATCTGGTTTACTAATTCTTTTGCTACCTTACAGCTTTGATTGAACAAAGGTTTGGATTGCTTATATGATTTCTGAAGGTTTCTACTATATGAATGGACAAGGTGTGGATTTAGCTGTTGTAGGAGAATTTCATATACATATCTATAGGATTCCGGTAGACTGGCTGGCTTCCTACTGGATTAAGGGCATCAATCAGATTTCTCAAGGTTAGAAGCTGTTTTAAATTTTGTGCCAGTTTAGGTGAACATCTTACTCGGTTGCCCACTCTTTCTAATGCTGTAACTTCTGTATGATATCTCGGTTCTGTGTTTAGGTTTCTAATCTTTAGGTGAAAACTTAGATGTAGGGGGAAGTGATCCCCTTCCATGTAAGGAAGTACTTGGAGAGTTTCAACTATGGAAGAGAGAGCCCTGCACCCCAGGATGTAGTCAATTGTGCTAGCTTTGGATGCTGCCATAAATGTGCATTTTCCTGGGGTATCACCTGTGATTGTGCCATTTAAAACTGAGAGGCCTGGTCTGTAGGAAAATTGTACAGACACGCCCCAGAATAGTTTGCATGTTGATCTTTAGATGCCCTCTCCTGATTCAGGGTCCCCACACTATCATTTCTTATATTGGCTATCATCTTAAATTTTGTTCCCAGATAATTGTCATCTGGTCCCATACAGGCGTTTAGACCCCCATCAATCAGGAACAAAGCGTCCGGATGTTCCATGATAAGCTCTCATGTATAGTTTTCAAGATCTATCCAATTTCCTTCTGTTTCTGCTTTTCTAGATGTATGAGGTAAGTATATGTCAATGATCAGTAGGGTTTTCATACCCCCTATTAGTACTACTGCCGTGGCTAGCTGTCTCAAGAGGGATTT